AGGCCGGATGAACCCGGCCCATCGGACGGCCGAGAAAGTTGGGGGGAATTGGAGACTCGCGCCGCCGCCCGTGCCGCACGCCGCGGCCACAAGCCGATTGCCCGGGTTTGGGCAGGGTTTAATGGATTCCGTCCGATTGCATTCCTCCGCCGCGGCGCGCTTGCAGAACACAACCGGACCGTCCAATCAACGGAAGCCTGAAGTTTGTTTAAAATTTTATTTGCACTTTTGAACTGAGAGAGAAGGGCTGTTCCTCCAGCGCAACACCAAGGTTGCCAGCATTGCTTGGCAGTCAACACTTTGGCATCTCACAAGGCCTTCCACAAAAGTGCAACGCAACGTTTGAACCCAGCGGTTGCGCCTTTGAGGTTCTGCAAAATCAGGGGCCAAAAGCAAAGGGTTTTACTTTGACACTGGACGGAAAGAGCGCGTCGGCCTGTTGTTAGCTGCGGGAGGGGCGTGGTTCCAAGCCAGGATGCAAAGTGTGGCTAGCACGAGTGGTTGTCACTATTCAGGGATGGCGGCGGCAAGGGTATGGCCTGCGGCAAGGGCGCTAGAGAAGGCCATCGCACGGCATGTCCTGCCACTCAGGTAACATGAAAGAGAGGCTTTCTGAATGAACCGTTTGTCCTTTTTGGGATATAGAACGGGCGTAGGAATTACACTGTCCACACTGAAGCATTCAGCCAGCATTAGTTTGTGACTATGGGACCCCCACCGGCACTACAAAGGTCTTGCAAGAGTTCCGCAACATCAGTGCCTCCCAGATGCATATTCCGACAGATAGATCTCTGGCTGAAGAGCTTTAACAACTGAATCGGTATAGCTGGATGGGCATTGATACAAGAACTGCTTCATTTGAATACCAACATAGTCAAAGCGTGAAGGGTAGATTAGGGGTTTACTGTACTTTTGCCCCTTGGTATTAATCATCATGGACCGGCACCCCCGCCCATGCCTTCTGCCGCCATTGCATACATCAGCAGTGCGCTTACTGCCTGTCCGCTTCTGCAGGATATCCCGAGGCGTGTCCGCCCCGAGTCTTCCCCCCACATTTCACACCAGCTCCCTCCCTCAACCTTCCTGTCACCACAGCCTATTCTCGACCACTTTCATTCCCCCCAACCTCTGGTCCTCTGCAAGCAGCTCCCCCCTCTTGCCCTCCTTATCTCGGCGGCCCCTGTCTGTTGCGGCGGTCGCCTCCACCGTGCAAGAGAGTGTTGCGGAGGCCCCACAGCATGTGCCTAAAAAGCCGGATGGACCGCCTGAGAGGGAACGAGTGGAGCTGCCCACCAACGACTCCTCAGAAACCCTCTTGAAGATCCGTCACACGGTACGCAGATCAGGGCAAAGAGTCTCTTTAACCACTTTGATGCACAACGTTTTCACTCAAATGTTATGTATGTGATGCGGACTTTTGAGAACCAAAAATTTGCAATGCTGTACTCTTGTAGCAGCTTGATGGCTAAGCAGCTGATCAGTGTCATGTGTAATCCACACAAAACAGAGTGTAGGAGAAGGAGCCCAAGGCTTGGGTCTGAACTGTAAGAGGTGTCATTAATCTCGCTTGTTTTGTGCGTAACAGAGCGCGCATGTGATGGCGATGGCGGTGCAGAAGCTGTTCCCCGGGACACAGGTCACGATTGGTCCCTGGATTGAAAAGGGCTTCTACTACGACTTTGACACCAAGGAGCCCATCACGGACAAGGACCTCAAGAAAATCAAAAAGGAAATGGTGAGGCCCCCACTGGACCATGGCCCCATTTTTCAGGCTCAACTCTTGAATCATACTTACTCGCTGAGATTCCTCCAACGAGTTTCAAAATCAGCTATTACGGTGTTCTGCCCAGAGTCATTGCCCAAAAGTTGCCTTTTTCATCTCCCCTTGAGACGTATTGAGTTCATAATCGGGTTGTGGTTCCCTTGTCGGAGGAGGCCCAACCCCTGGGGCTTGACAGGGCACCCCTTTGGGCGACCAGCTTGCAAAATCCTCTCAAGCAGCTCAGAGATACAGGGATTCTCCCAGTTTCCATGAGCATTCCTGTGTGCAGGCGCGCATCATCAGCAAGAAGCTGCCGCTGACGCGGGAGGAGGTGACGCGTGAGGAGGCACGGAGACGGATTGAGGAGATCCAAGAGCCGTACAAGCTGGAGATCCTAGACGGGATCAAAACGGAACCAATCACAATCTACAAAATAGGTGAGACATTGCTGGACATTGTTAAGGAGGGTCAGCCTCATATCAGTTCAGGCCAATCAGCTCATCAGGATGTCTGCAATATCTGAGGTGGTTGCAGAAAGTCGTTGTACATAGTTAAACCGTGCCTGTCCTGAATCTGGGGGGACAATCAGACTCTTCCAACTTGGCACTCCCACATACCGGTTTCAATGCTGGTGGCAGATCCGTTGAGGAAGAGGAGTGGCGTTTTAGCCCCCGCTGAACATCGGGCTCCTGACAGGAGTGAAACAGTGGAAACATATGATGGGATTGCGTTTTTGGCCAACCCGATAGGCATGGACCCTTTGACACGTGTCAAACGATACGACAATTGTATCTGCAGGGGAGGATTGGTGGGACCTGTGTGCGGGGCCGCACGTGGAGCACACGGGGCAGTTGCCGGTGAAGGCGATTGAGCTGGAGACGGTGGCGGGGGCGTACTGGCGGGGGGACGAAAACCGGCAGCAGCTGCAGCGCATCTACGGAACCGCCTGGGAGAACGGTGAGATAACGGGAGTGTGCGTTCTGAGGTTCTCTGAAAGCATTTGGCAGAAATTGACATGTGGGAAGAGTTCGTGTTCTTGCAACTTAATCAGGACGAGCATGGATGAGTGGCGATGTCTTTTGCTGCAAGAAATTGCAACAAGGAGTTGGCGTTTTGTCGTTGTTATGAAAGCTTTCGCGTTGCCTCTTCACAACGTTCAAATTGGGTCATCGTCAAACAAACCCCCTATGAGAGTTCTCGTCGCTGATCCCTTTGAATAAATATTTCAAGTGGCAAGCTTCCTAGGAGCCCTCCCTTTTCTCCTTACGACCGCTGAACAAAACAGGATGCCGCGTTCTGTGCAAGGTGCTGCTTCGCCCTTTTCGAAGTTTCCTTCTGCCAGCGTAACCTTTGGAAAAGTGTCAAGTTTCCGCTCGTCCATCGCTCAACTTTGTTGCAATCCGCTCGCAGAGGCCCAGCTGGCTAAGTACGTTTACCCCCGAAGTATCTTCCGGCCAGCCTGAGATTTCAGACCGCTACTCCGTTCCGCTCTTTCCTCTAACATTCCGACGCTATTTCCCCTCCGCAGAGGCGCAGCTGGCGGAGTACGTGTACCGCACGGAGCAGGCGCGGCTGCGCGACCACCGCAAGCTGGGGCAGGAGCTGAAGCTGTTCAGCATCCAGGACGAGACGGGCAGCGGGCTGGTGTTCTGGCACCCCAAGGGCGCCATGATCCGCAGCATCATCGAGCAGTACTGGAAGCAGCAGCACCTGCGCAACGGCTACGAGCTGCTCAGCACGCCGCACGTGGCCAAGCTGGAGCTGTGGAAGACGAGCGGCCACTTCGACTTCTACAAGGAAAACATGTTCGACCAGGTGAGAGAGCAACGGCGGATCTGAGCGTTCTGAACCTCTTGGCATGATTTCATGTTTGGCCCGAGGTTGAGGAGGTGCGGGTTGAAGATCTTGATACGAGTACGTTTAAAAGTGCTGAGATCGACGAGACTTGTGGGCAATATTCCCGTTGTGGGTGGGAAGAGAGGGTGCCGTAGGATCGTCAGGAAGCATCTGAAACGCCCAAGCCATTGCTCGGAGCGGGCGGAACCTTATGTGTCAGCATAAGTGCGAGAACAATCCTACTAGGGTTCGAAATTGCACGTTTCTTCGGTTTGAGTTGTACGATCAGAGGGACTTACCTCCTCCGAAGCTCCCAGCACATCAGACACAGCAAGTGGACGTCAAGCTGCCTGTGTGTGACTGCTAAGACCCTGTCCCCTCCGGTGCACGCAGATGGCGGTGGAGGACGAGAAGTACCAGCTGAAGCCGATGAACTGCCCGTGCCACATCGCGATCTACAAGGACAGCCTGCACAGCTACCGCGAGCTGCCCATCCGCTGGGCGGAGCTGGGCACCGTCTACCGCTACGAAAAGTCGGGCACTATGCACGGCCTCTTCCGCGTGCGCGGCTTCACGCAGGTGCGCCGCTGAATGTGCTTGGCAGAACGTGGCCTCATTTCGTTAAACTGATGTCTAGGAGATGGTCTCGTGTTGTCGTTGACGGCTTGGAAGAGGAAAGCCGCTCCTCTGCAGACCTCTCCAAGAGCTTCGTTGCAGGAAATCACGGTCGATAAGGGTGCGGGGCACAAGATGTTCACCAGTGCCAGTTTCTTCAAGCCGTGATCCGTTCGGTGTACACAATTTGTTCTTGTCAACCCTGCTTCGGCAGTCACGGAGCCACTCGCTAATGTCAGACCGACAGGGTATGATGGAAGAGTCCCGTTAACGTGTTTTCAACGCCGAAGTGGTTCGAAACAGCCTCAGAGCCGCTGTGCATATATCTCACCTGCGGCCGTGCTTTTCCGTGCAGGACGACGCGCACATCTTTTGCCTGCCGTCCCAGATTGCGGACGAGATTTTGGGCGTGCTGGACCTGACGGAGGCCATTCTGCGGCAATTCGACTTCACCAAGTTCGAGGTCAACCTGTCGACGCGCCCCGAGAAGGCCGTCGGCAGCGATGGAATCTGGGAGCGCGCCACCACCGCGCTGCGCGAGGCGCTCGACCGCAAGGGCTGGGAGTACGGGATCGACGAGGGCGGCGGCGCGTTCTACGGACCGAAGATTGATATTAAGATCGAGGACGCGATCGGGCGGCGGTGGCAGTGCTCCACTATCCAGGTGAGGACACGTGGCACCGCTGTGGTTGATTTTGCTGGGGTCGTTGAGAAAGGGGGGTGGCTGTTTCCGTAGCAACCATCTGTTGTTTTGGAAGCGTGAGAGCAACATCCAAATTTCCTGTCGGCGAAGGAGTCTGGCAATCGAGGACTTCCCTAAAGTCGGGCGAACTTTTTGCCGATGGAGATGGGGATGGGGATTGCGTACGTGCAGAGCTTGATCATCCGAAAGACCGCTGGGGACCTTGACCGGCGTAGTTTGTCTCGTCCTTTCTCAAGGCTGTTGGAGGATTCTCTCTCATGACCTGTGTCCCTTTTTCCTGCTGCGGCAAGTTGTCACGAGCCGTCTCGTGACCGAGTCTTTCCCTTCGCCGCGCACAGGTGGACTTCAACTTGCCGGAGCGGTTCCAGATGGAGTACCAGGACGCGGACGGCGAGCGCAAGCGGCCCATCATGATCCACCGTGCCATCTTCGGCTCGCTCGAGCGCTTCTTCGGCGTCCTCATCGAAAACTACGCAGGTCAGCCGGAAGTCTGTCTATCTCAACTTGGTGATGCCTCGTTGTCAGACTACGTCTCAAATGGAGGGGTTCGCTGCGGTCTCTCTAGGTTTTGAAACTCACCAGTGATTCGATGTGCACGTCGACATAAGCGACAGCATGAAGAGTGTCTCTTTCGGCTGCAAAACTCAACGTCTCGAATCCATGTCGCGAGTAGTCTGCACAAAAGGGTTGACTTGGGCAAGCTTCGCAGAGTAGCGAGATTCAGCCGTCCATCCTAAGGGGTGCTACTTGCCATGGACGCTGACGACTCTTCGCTCTTGTCGCTCGTTCTCGGGTCAATACCCTGCGTCTCCCGTGCAGGCGACTTCCCGCTGTGGCTGGCCCCGGTGCAGGCGCGCGTGCTGCCCATCACAGACTCGCAGGTCGAGTACGCGCACCGCGTCGCGCGGCAGCTCAAAGCGCACGACATCCGGGTGGAGGTGGTGTCAGGGGAGCGGTTGCCCAAGCTGGTGCGCAACGCGAATGCGGACAAAATTCCGCTCCAGCTGGTGGTGGGCAAGCAGGAAGAAGAGCACGGTTCGGTGGCCATCACCGCGCGGGGGCCGAACGGGGATCGGAAGCTGGGGGAGGTTGACGTGGCCGAGCTGGCGGAGCGGTTGAAGGTGGCGGAAGCGGCCAAGAAAAGGTGGTTCGACTAGAGGGGACAAAGCACCGTGCGAGGTGTGTTGCACGCTTAAGGTAGCTCGGTAGTGTTGGCTGCAAAATGGGGCCGACTTTGTCACACCTGGATTCGTGTTGATGGGCTGAAACTCTAGGCCGGAAGGCAGCCGGTCTGCTGGTTTAAGTGAGCCAGAGACCGTTTGTCTTCAAAAGAACAGCGGGGGTCAATGGTCCCAAACCTGTCAATCGTCAGGTATGCATATTGAAGGTATCATGCACATCAAGCCAGCGAGCTGCCATACAGTACGCATGGCGGGCAAAGAATGTACTCAATGATGCGGCACTTATAAGCTGCACACAGCTAGCCCCGATCGCTTCCGACGACGCCATTTGCTGTTCACAACTTTGCATGATCAGCATGACTGATGTCGGTTGCGGACTCACAGGCTCATGCATGCTGCGCCTGGCCGGGCTTAAGGAAGTCGCAATCAAAGAGCCAGGACGACAGGCGTTATACGCTGGATGTACATATACGCACTGATCATGTTGTGACGTACATGCATGTATTAGTATGAGTCCGAAAGCAATGATGGATGGAAATAATACTGCAAGACCTATTAGACATGAGAGGGATAGCTGAATTATTATATATGTACGTAGGCATTTATAATGAACCACATGTGACGGTCAATAGAGTTGTAACGTGTCGAGGCATGTTCCATGCGCAGTCCTTGCCACTCTTTAGCTTTCTGCACGCAAAGAAATTGAGAAACGATGCCAGGCCGACCATTCGACAATTATTCGACAAATGCCGAGGCAAGGTCAACTTCGATTGAGGCTAGCGGGTCACATGCCGCCACGTTATGGCACGATGGATATATAGCAGTAATGATTGATGCACTTGTGGCACTGAGTGCTCCTTAGCATGCCCGCTCTGGCTGCACTGAGGCCAGTAATCATTTGTGAGCTCTCGTTCAATTTGAGTTTCTCCAACACGCGGTCCATAGTATCGAACCGGCAATATGAGACGTCTTGCTCGGCACATACCCTGCCTCGCGATTCAGACGGATCGATTGGATCTCATACACGGACAAGTCACGGTCGTCATGGCGAGTGGTCCCACCGGGCAGAACTTCGGAACATCTCCATTGCTTGGTCTTATGTTCAGGAGATTGAATCCAGCCAGGCATCAAAATCCTCATCTGCTGGGGCAGTAGGTTTTGATCTAGCCGAGACTGGTGCCGTACTTCGTTGCTCAGGTCTCGATTCTGCCTTCACACTTCGGGTAAGTTGGGACGCACTCCCTATCGCAGTACTCTCAAGCAGTCGTTCTGAAGGTGTAGCCGCACTCATCGAGCCCGCACTAGCCACACCCGTTCTTGTCACGCTTGTTGCGCCTCCATTGGAAGCAGCCCTGTCCGGTAGCACGTGCGCTTGGGACTTGGACGCTGACGGGGTCAAAGCAGCTAGAAGAGCGTCTATGTCATCATCTGCAGGAGACGCCCTTTCTCCCCGCTGACTGTGTGAAGCTGCTTCTTCGTCTGCTTCCCTAGCAGCAGGACTGGAAGTTTGTCCTTTCAACAGACCGATCCTGCCCGCTTCAGCCCTCAGAGAATTCGTCTCCGTCCCTTGATGCGGTTCGGCTTGAGCGGACTCGCCCCTTCCAACGCCTGATGGTCGAAGCAGACTGTCTCCTGAAACTAAGGGACGGGTCCCCAACTTCCCCCGACTTTGTCCAACTGCGCCCCCGTTTCGCCGTTCTGGCAGAGCCTCCTCTTTAGCAGCTGGCCTTGCACTCCCACTGCCCTGTATTGATCCGTTCCCCTCCGTTACCTTTACGGCCTGACCGCCTCGGCCGAGAAGCACATTCAGAAGATCTGCGTCGTCCTCTTCCTTTTGACCTGAGGGAGACAGCTCGGCTTGCCGTGCGCCGCGCGCCTCCTCCCCCTTTGAAGTCCTGCTACATGCGGATTCTGGCGCTTTGTCTTTCCCGTCTGATAAGCGAGAGGTTCCTGCTGCGGGTATTTGGCCCTTTCCCTGGAGACTCGTTTTCGGGACAGACAGGGCTGCCGCAACAGAGCCCGTAGGGTCTACAGTTACTCCCTCAACCCCGCTGGTTCTCGAAGTTGCAGTAACCGGCTCCCTAAAGGGCGGCTGCTCTTTGGAATACGCCCCTGCATCTCGGAGTTCGACCGCTCTGTCGGTTTCCAAGGCCTCAATTGTGGCACCCTCTTCTTCCTGCACAACCTCGTTCTTGTCAGGTTACAAAATCCGCCTCAACCATTACAATTCGAACGAAGCTTTTGATACCCGTTGCGTCCAATTGACATTAGCGTCCAACTACGTCTCCCTTTTCAAAGGAGAGTATTGCTTGATGACTTTGCTTTGGCAACGAAGAGACGGCAGACTGTACAGTGTTTGTAGCTGCGTTCAAATCTTATGTAAGCTGACAAGTGCAGCCAGCTGATCGTTAATGCAGATGATTGCTTGCTGATTGAAATAAGGGGATGAAAGCACAGCGGCTCACCTCTTGTGAGCTGAGAAGTTCGTCTTCCAGCCCAAGGCGCTCAGCCATCGACAAGTACGACAAGGCCTCATTCAAAATGGACAGATTGATGTTGAGTGGCAAAGGCTGGAAAGGAAAAGCGATCTACTGTCAGCTTATTCTGGTTCACAACAGCAAAGTTGGCGCTGAAAAGAACCTGCAAGTGATTAAAAAACCAACCGCTTCAGATCCAAAGCTGGCCAGTGCCTGAAAAATGGTCTTGAAAGTGACAGTTAGCCCGAAGCTGGGCTTGTCTGAGCGTTAGCACGAGGAGATGACTTATGTCAGGAAACCGGATATGCGAGCGAGCCACAACACGTACCTTTTCTTCCATGTCATGCGTCTGAAAGTGATCCTCAATGTCCAGGTCGAAGTGAGCCAACAGTGAGACGCTGCCACCACTGAGAAGGGCATCTGAAACAACAAGATGCGGTCACTTGAGTAGCGGGCAGACTTTGTAGCACAGTCACATTCCTTGCTTACGCTGTGTGATAGGCAGATGTTGTAATTATTTGAATTCTCTGTGAAGAGCATTCTTCTTTAGCACGACAATTTTTGTTGAGAGTAAACGAAAGCATTGAGGCCCAACTGTCATGCCACCAGCGGCCTCAAGTACCACCAAGAAGGCTGCAGCTAGAGTGAACCTTGGTTACTCAGAAACTCAGAAGGCTTTGTTTTTCTTCCAAGACTATCCAGTTCGCTACATCATCGATTGGCAGTGGAACAAGTTAGTCCACCACTAAATATTTTGAGCATTCTAGATCGTTTCGGGCCAGTGCGCATTCATACCCCACAAGCAAGCTGTGACCACTCACCAGCTTCTTCAAGCAGCAGATTGTAGTCCAACCCCTCTGACTGCTTTTTTGCTACTTCTTCCATCACCCCACCATCATCCAAGGTGCCTGCGCCATCTGCTTCCCCAGGCTCCATGTACCTGTCCCAATTTGAACCAAGCCTATCGTTTGCGCCCGATCTTTTCGTACGGTCCTCGTCTGTTTCAATGTCTTTGCCCACTGTTCTCCCTTCCGCTCCATCTGTGGCCACCTCGTGGCCTTGCCCATGATGTTGGCCCCGCCCCCGAGACTTATACTGCAAATTTTTGAAGCGCTGTGAGCGAGAGTCTCGCTTATGGTCCATCATACGCGATGTCGCCGCCCCTCACTTCCTGCCTTTCAAATGATTGCGCTGTGCACGGGGCACTTGATCAAGTTCACTGGTGGAATCTAAGAATATGCCCCACCTGAAACAGGCGTTGCATGTGCAGGTCGACAAAAAGTCCCTATTTGCAAGGCTCCAGCTACACCAGCTCCAACACAGGCAGACTGAGACCAACTTGAAGGTTCGTAGAGCTCTATCTAGCTCGATTGAAGAATTGTGAAATGGTCTCAGGAGGAATTTACGTACATGGAGGAAGCATGTACGGTACATGTTGGATTTAGGTATAGGCTTTTCTGGGTCTCCTTGCGCGCATGCTGCCGCCACGTACTAGTATACACACTATGCATGTCATGTTAGTTGATTGCGCACTGAGGTCGCGCAACATGCATGAGTGGCCGTTCAGATTAAAAGATGAAAAAGTGAACATGGCGGAAAAAATGAGTGGCGCCGGCCATCATGAGATCGAGCTAACTTCGATTTCTACAACTTACAGCACGGTTAAAGCCTCGGCCAGTGTTCCTCGAATCGACTGCAGCCGGCCGCCTCTAGAGCTTTTGCCTTGGTTCAATATGAAGATTGGGCCGGCAATGGACCACAGCCCAACAGACGGGCCTCTTAGCAATATGTCTGAACATAGCCTATCATTGAGCATGTAACCCATATGCATACATGGTGTAATGCCTAATTGTAGAAGGCTTCATGAAAACCAACGTAACATGGATGGTGATCCAGCCGTACGCCTACTTTACAGTAGACAATGAGCAAAAATAATTCGCAACCATGTCCATTTAAATCTTGCATTCTCCTACAACTGTTTGGTGTACAGTGTACAAAAGATCTTTGACCAGCACGAGCCGCATCCGTATGTCAAATACAAGGAGCCCGCCCATGCCAATCTAACGTACATTTCAGTTGACTCCTGAAAGCTTTCGTTGGAGGAAGTGGTATCAGCTGACTACGTTCATCAGACCCACAATCAGGAAGTTACTCAGCGAGCAATCCAACGCGCTTGCCGCAATGTAAGTCCATGATACAAACACCTCTTTGCTACCCTGGAATCGACCAAGCTAATCAGGGCGGGCAGCCCGTCTTGTCCCGCCAATCAAGATAGATCAGCCCAGTGTTGTAGTGCAGGTATGCGGCAGCCAGCACAAACAAGTGGAAGATCTGGTGGCTGCTCCCCGCGATGTCAAACGTTCCCGGCTTCCACCGCTCCGGGATGCGCGTCGAGTAGAAGAGCGCCCCGATCAGGTAGAGTGCCCCCATGGCCGCCTCCAGGCGCGTGGTCTTCCAGACGACGCTCTCGTGCGGCAGGACTGCCAGCTTGTGCAGGCACGGAATGATGCCCGCCATGCCCATCCCCGCAAACATGGACGCGCGGAAGGTGCGCCACTTGGCCGTCTGGAAGGTGGGGATCAGGCTGACGGCGATGCAGCACAGCCCAATGACGCTGATGCCGATGAGGTACATGTAGCGCCACAGCGGGTCGCACAAGAAAGAGTAATACACGGGGGGAAAGAAGGACGTGGCCACCATGACCGCGATGCCGCAGTAGTCAAACCTGCACGCAGGAGGAACGGGTTGAAAGCGTAAAGGCAAGTCCCCCGGATCTCAGAAACTGACATCTTAACCAAACCGCAAAATAGGTTTGAAAAGGAATTCCAGAAAGATACAGGCAGCTTCTGAATTGATGGACAGAGAACATCAGCTGAAGACAATTGTAACCGACTGTAGAGAAAAACGACCAGAGTGGGTTGCGTGTTCCATCAGGCAAAGCTCGCAGGACGCTGGCGGCTATACTCTGCACTTGCACCTGATTGCGTCAGCAATCTTGAACCTTCCGCTGAACTTGAGTCTCTAAGAGGAATATACGCCAGTGGTGGCAGACGAGTATGGTCAGAACGGTACGACTCTAGATTGAAATGGTGTCGTCCGACCGAAGTCGTTGCAAATCTACTTGAGAAACTAACCTGGCTGAGATTCGTGTCCATCAATACTTTGTACCAGACGAAGATGACGATCATTCGAAACGAGACGGACAAGGACATCTTAGAAAGCAGGGACTCCAATCGGTCCTCTCCTTTGTACCTTTGTACAGGCCCCAGCAAATCGGGAGCAATCGCGAACAGTGGCGTGCTCACCTCCAGATGATGGCGGAGGTGCGGTGGGAGTGGCAGGCGAGCAGGTGGCAGGTGGCGCTGGAGAGGAGGCACGTCATGGCGCCCGCGAGGAAGACGAAGAAGGGCCACCGCGTGACCACCAGCTGCGGCACGCCCACGCCCTTGCCCGCCAGCAGCGCCTGCGCTGCCACTGCAAAGTCCTCCAGCGTCGCAGACACGCCGTCGCCCATGGTCGTCAGCAGGGACTGCACACAGACAGAGCGGTGCCCCGTTTGAGGACTGAGAAAGGTTTGGCTGAGGGAGTCGACACGGAGTTGCTTCAATGCAATTACCGTCGGCTGTCTCGAGAGCGGACGGGAAGAGGAAAAGGGACTTCTGGCGGACTCCCTTGGGACCCCCTTGGACTGTAAACCCTTGGATTGACGGGCCCAATCAGTCCAGACCGTGCATTCTCAAAGATCATAGCCAGAACTTGAAGGGTCTTCGATTTCGGCTGGGAAGTCCACGTCCTCTTTCTTCCGAATAGTCAGGTCAACACTCAAGAACAAAGAGGTAGATGAACACAAAACCGTACAAACCCGGCAGAGTCGTAGATGCCGGTTGTAAAACGACAATCGGAAGCATTTTCAAATAATCTTCGCAAAAGTTGGCCGTTTATAAAAAAGGCCTGACTGAAAAGCAGGCGACCACAAGACTGAAAATACTGGCTGAAAGTAGCTCATGTCTTGGAGGCCTGACGTATTTAGCTCCGCTCGTCCAATCTCTGGCAATCGTCAACAGAACACCGCTGCGGGGAAACTTCCACGAGCTTTCTATGCATATGCAAACCTAGAGCTTTAATAAGTGTTATATACCATCAGCAGGGACCTATTCATACGCACTTTCTTACTTCAAAGGAAAAGGCAAAGCTTGCCTCGCTCCTAGACTCTTTGTCCTGACGTGAAGTAGGGTGTCCGAAAGGCCTGGTTTTGGGGTCATTAGACCATCTTTTGAATGACATGAGGGAGAGCCGACAGGATTCTTCGGACTGGAGTCAGACGCTATACCAGAATCAGACAAGGTACATGTTACAAAGAGAGAAGCGAACTCGAATGAACTCACACGAAGGTGGGGTAGGTCTGCCATCTCGAGGGCATGGCTGATGGTGGGGAAGTGCTGCCGGAGGTGGAGCAAGTCAACGAAGGAGGGGATGTGCGGCAGAGAGGGGCGCGGCAGGGGCAGGGTGCGCCACGTGTAGATGGTGAGAGCAACAAACAGCAAGAAGCCCAGGAAGTGCCTGCAGAAGAAAAGAATAGAAGAAGATGGACAAGCGGCGGCGGGAGGGCCATGCCAAGGAAGGGGGGGGATTTGCCGCCCGGTTCGAAAAGGCATTTGGGGAACAGCGTAAAGGCAGGGTATGCCCCTAAGAAACACATGCAAAAAAGCCCCTAATCACTTGATCAGTAGTTCATAAAGGCCCATGTCTGCTTCAGGTGATAGCAATCCTTGCAGCTCCAAGCAGATAATCACATACATTAGTAACCTGCCTGCCCCACCCTGCTTGGTTGGGCCACCACCATTCCACAACAGTTCAAACACCCCCTGCACCAGTCTATTTTACTTGCTTAGGTGCAAGATAAGACCTGATCCTTTCACCAAACAAAAAGCCCACATCAGTCTTCTTACAAATCTCACAATGTCAATTGAAATGGAAGCTCAAAAAAAGATGTTACAAAAACAGGTGATGACAGCTTGCAATTGAGGCCAATTCAGGGGCCAGTGACATCAGATCTGTGAAATCTTAAAGAGTCCGCTTGCTCACGTCCAGATGTTGAGCGTCTCATTGTGCACTTTGAACAGGCTCAGTGCCGCATGCTTAAGCGGCATCTCTCCGCGGTAGTAGTGCCGGATGAACTCGTTGTCCTGCAGGTAAGCTGGCATCTCGTGGAAGTCCATTAGATGGTACCTCTTCTTAGCGGCCTTCCATGTTTCTGATGCCTGGTCCTGCGCCCTCTCCAGCGTCTCCTTGACTGAACTTCCCGCCCTCTCTAGTTGCTCCACCACCTCACTGAATCGACCGCTCCGCCGTGGGCTGGCTGATGGGCTCCCGCCATCGGCATCTGAGGTAGGATTGGGTACCGCAACCTCTCGCCGCCGCAAGCCACTCGCAGAAAGTGGATCGTCCATCTTTCTTGACTGTGCCTTCCAACTTCAAGAAAGCGCGCTTCCAAATGGCGCCCAATTTCAGAGTCTGCCTTTCCACCATGCACTGGCAACCAGTGTTGACAATGACAGTGACAAGTTCCTTGTGCCAGGGTAAAATTCTGCTGCTGCCGCCTGGCAAATACAAGGATGCAGCTGGATGCAGCATCATCTTATGGGGTCATCTTCTTGTCGATTATCACCAGTATTTAAAATTCACTTTGGAAAGATCTGGAACCGGAGTCGAGGTGGTTGACGGACGGATTGGATGATCGGATATGTTCCTTTCAAGAACTCATGAATATGTTCCAATATATCCTAAATATATCTAGAAGAAAGCTCACAGCTCCGGGTGCAAGACAAGCTCCTGCATGGGACTTTCTGCTTGGTTTCCAAGTTGCCTTGCCCGCTACTTCTGCTGCCTTGCGGCACAGTTTTGAATGTTCGTTCAAGCAGCTCAAGTGATCTTTTCCGCTTGCTGTGATCCCGCAGCGGAGGAAGCGCAAGAGGATTTCAGCGCATTGTCTGCGGAGGCTTGCCGGCTGAAAGGTAGATGATTGACGTGTGAGATACGTGCTAAGCTCGCTAAGCTTACAAAGCTTTGCACCGGAGCAATGCCGGCATGATATTGAACGTGAGGTGTAAAGTGTCCTTGAATCCATCACTGAGTTTAATCTGCAAGAGAATATCATCTGTGACACCACTACCCTCATCCATACCTTCAAACCCTGTGACCAGTAGCAGCTTCACGACTGCACATTCTCACTGCGTTGGCGATATCCGGGCCAGTCTGAGGGGGCTCCATTTTCAGAGTCAAGCTCCACATTCCCAACTTTTCAATAAGAACAGACCATTTTGTCAACCTCCGACCATCTTCGTGCCAGTCAGGAAGCGCACCGGTTCAGCACTCTCTGGGGGGCGTACTATGCCACCTCCATTGGCAGCTGTCCTGCCGGGTGGTGGAAGAGTGCTGAGTATCCAATCGCACACCGTCAGTGTGAGGCGCCAGCCACACCCAGATGAGCTGCTGATTCATTATGGGTTTGACTCAGTCGAGTCAACTGTAGCAGTGCCTTTTCAATCGTTTTAAACATCCATGCGCAATCATGCCAAGCAGAAAAGTAGCAGGCCTCCGATGTCTGATTCCACAAGTCGCGGTTCGAAGAATGTCTGTCCATCTGGTGTTGAGTAGGCTCATCGCTTGGCCAGCCTAAAGTGGGATTTCAAAGATGAAAAAGCTGCAGAACCAAATTCATGCAGTCAGCTTTAAAGCTTGCACTTTGTTGTTTGTAAATGTTCATGATGAACTTCATAGCAGCTTTTTCGGTTTCATCAGGTTTCTAGATTGGAACTCCACTGAGGGGCTTTGTTTGACATCGTTGCAGGGGTATGTGGGGAACAAGTGTGCCGTCTTTCCACTTCAGCTCCATGGCTTTGATGTAGATCCAATCAACTCGGTTCAATTCTCAAACCATACAGGCAAGACATCCTGACTATGTAGGTTTCTTTTCGGTTGCTGCTGTGCTCACTGCCGCGCTTCGTTCCAGACCATTTTCATCCTCAAGCTTTATCCGGCGTTGTCAGGGCATACTGACATTGAGGTCTTGAATAGAAGCTTCAAGCTCCGATCATCGATCACAACCAAGGCAGTCTGTGTAATCTATTGTTGTTCATTGCTAGATTGGTAACTGTGTCCTGGCTGCAGGCTATCCTACTTTCAAGGGTGACGTGTTGAACGGCGACCAGCTGTGGACTTTGATTGAGGGCCTTGAAGAAAATGACCTTCTTCAATACACACATCTCGTCACAGGCAAGTTGATTGGAAGCAGGCTAGGTTCCAAAGGGCAAGCCTGACTAAGATTTTGATTAGTATCAGTCTTCACATCTGTGCGCGGTGCATGCTGAGATTGCCTGTTCGATTTTTCGGTCATCGAGTGATGTTTTCTCGGGCTGGAGACCAGCGATCCTTGTTCCTGCAGGTTACATTGGCTCTCTATCCTTCCTGGACACTGTTCTCCGGGTCATCGAGAAGGTCCGGACTTCAAATCCCAAGCTTATCTATGGTGAGTCGGACTGATGCATACCGGATTTTCCTTTTGAGTTGCCTGTCTAAGAGGCAAATTCAGGCTCCCACAATGGGCTGAGTGTATGATTGGCTTCTTTCTGTCTCCAGACATACCCGTGGCTCTTCGTTATCTGCTTATCGCAAAGGCCTCCTTGCACAGTAGGGTATGGAAGTACGGAGTATCTAAAGCGCTTTCAAAGGTGGCCAACGAGTTGGGGCAACGGCTTGTGACCACCGGGATCCGGCAAGCCCTGGTTGTCGAGATAGGTTTGACCTACATGAAGCGAATGAGCCTGTCCATCTTTTCTGGCCACGAAGGATGTTCGGAATGAAGGCTAGAAGCTTCTCGTATATATGCAGTTTGCGATCCAGTCATGGGGGACAATGGAGCGCTCTATGTGAAACCAGAACTGGTGCCCGTGTATCGAGAAAAGGTGGGCCTGCCTAACAATACCATGCATCTTTTGAATCCTGCGGCCAGGGAAGTAGCTGCTTCGCACCTTTTAAGTTGCCAGATAAGACGTCCGCCCAGCCCTTTGGATTGCGGATTAGTCTGGCTTCAATGGCCATCAAGTGCAGTTATCATCATAGACAATCTCCTCTGGATGTTGTTTGGGTCGAAGTCAAAACTTTCCTGTCTTGGATTGCAGGTTGTACCGCAAGCCAACATCCTCACACCGAACCAGTTCGAAGCTGAGCAACTGGTACAATTCAGGTATGTCGGACGAGTTCTCTACACGATGTCTTCACTGGCAACTCTTACGGCAGCGGATCCCCGTTGAAGTTGGTCCAACGTGCTTCACTTATGCAAACAACGAGGACAATCAGTGCGAGTATATTTTCATGTGTAACAAGTTTGTTTGGTTACTGCAGCATAGCTAGCGAAAAGGACGCCTTCCGTGCTTGCGAGGTGTTACACAGCAGAGGTCCTCAGCGGGTGGGTGCGACCTTCGCCGACTCTTAATCTGCGAAATGCCACTATCCCCAATTGCACGCATCCGTTGTTCGAACTCTCGCGAGTACGCTCAGCAAAGATCCCTCGTTTAGCGTTTCAGATGTTGTTTCGATGGTTGGTCACGTCCCGTCACAGACGGTCACTTCTAAGTTTGTGAAGGTGACTGCGCAGGTTGTGATTACTAGCGTACATTTGAATGGTGAGATTCTGATCATCGGAAGCCAAGCCGCTCATGGGGTAAGTGTGGGGCATTACGCAGTGGCTACTCACTTCTCTTGTTATTGTCACAAGATTTGCTGCTTGTTTCGTCTTTCCTCGCAAAATTGTCATTAGGTCTCTGCAGCTCTTCATTGATGCATGTATGTAGGTGCAATGCACGAGGAGAGGCGACTGAGCCGCTGTTGTAGACTCAATTTGAGTATCAAGCACCCGAAAGACTGAACGCTCTCGTTGCAGAAATTCAAAGCCTTGCAATTCCGGATAGTGGTCCCCAAGCTGCCACACTCGTTTACGGTGAGCATTATTGAATCGAAGTGAGATTGTGCATTCGTCCGTGCGCTCATGCTCAAACGTGTTGGTCGTCTTGTCATAAAGGGTCAAGAGGATGGCTTCCGCGTGGTCAACATTACCACTCGCACCTGAGGGATACTGGAATTCATGCAGCCCACGCAGTTCTCCCGCTCCTCTCACGAGGCTCTGCTGCATCGGTGTTCAGAACATCGAGCGCTTCTGTTGCAGGGCACTGGGGATCTAATGACCGCGCTCATTCTGGCCTGCGCAAACGTGAGGACTGCTTCTCCATGGTCTGAATGATATGGACACTTCCTATTTTACTTTTAGTCGCTGCAAGAATAACATGACGAAGCAAGCCATTAAACAAGTGGCGACTCCACGTTTGATACTGGCTATTTGCTGATGGTTGATCAAAACAGAACGAGGAGGTTGCTGCAAGTCCTAATCATATGTGATTTGCCAGCCACGAATGTTCGCGACTCATTTGGCATGTTCACGCTGCAGGAAAATCCGGATGACCTGGCAAGAGCAACTGAGCTAGCGGTTGCGAGTCTCCAGGTATGCGTCAAGCTCTCAGTGTCTTTCTCAACCTGGCGATGTCTTTTTACGAGCATTCGCTACTTCAGTAAATCCTCTCTTCAGCAATTTCAACCTCCATGTGAGGCCGGTCGATTTACGACTGACGATTCTGAGTAGTCTACTCTTGTTTTGCTAACCGAGCTCAGTCTCCTAATGGCCCCTTCATTCTCGATCGGGTTGATCCCGTTTGCTTTTTTGAATCTCAAGAAAACGGCGGGCTTTCTTTCTAACTTTAGTTGGAACCATTCGAGAAACCTGGACCATAATCTGTGGTCTGTTTGTGGTTGATGAGCTAAGGCAGCTGTAACAGCTAAAAGCGACTGACCGGTTTACTTCGCCAACTTGTCTTTAACGCTGGGGATTGCATGCATTGAAACCAGTCTCATTGCTTACGCCCGCAGAAAATGTTGACGAGCTACTGGCATGCTTCCTGTTGGAAAACACCATGCCTTTTCCACACTGATTCAACGGCCTTGACACAGGAGCCTTGTTCCTCCTTGATACATGACCCACTTTTCAAATTCATGACGACCACATTAACATTTTCACTTGACCACGCGCAGGCTGTCATTCAAAGGACCATCGCAGACTACGCTCTAGCTGGCATTCCTTCTGGAACGAAGCGAGGCCAGCTTGAGTTGCGGCTTATTCAAAGCAAAGATGACCTGATAGCCCCCACAGTGAAACTGCACGCAGAAACCATCCCCTCCAAGGTGGACAGTTGAAAGACGTGATTGACGCACCTGTTCAAAGGTACTCCTGGAACGTGCAAAACAATGGGCCAGAGGGGTTGTCATGCCCAGTGTGACATGCAGACACTTCTTGGCAACCACTGCAGGGAACGGCAGCCATTCACAATCAGTGGCTTGGCCTGCTACTACTGACATTTTTGGACATCCGTTCACATGCGGCCCATTCTGGAATGGATATGCACTTATACATGCGTGCACCATCTAAGATTCACCGGACGTGCAGCTGATCGCATCGTTACAGGAGTAATTTATGTCGGTGGAATTCCCTGGCTGCGGCAGCCTAAGCTGTGCATGCCAGCATGACAGTATAGACGAACTCAGTCTGTCGGATGTGTTAGTAAGCGAATAGCTTTCATGCAGTCACGTACCATTAGATGTCAGATCTGGTATACTTCAATCATGCAGCAGCTCTATAGTCGGACCATTCCATGCCGTGATACTTTGCAACGATCATTGCATACGTCCAGACAATCCGCGACTGCAATTGCAAATCGATCGACTCCCATGCATGACGGTGCACGCGGGGCGGGCACTCATCGCGATCCTTCATTATTGATGCAAGCTAGCTAGAGCTAGGTGCGGGCCCACGGTTTGTAGATGTCAGCTAGAACTTGATTTTGAAACACATATGCAGTGCCTCACGGCCGGGCCGCAGGACCATCTAGATTCCGATCAAGCACGGACCGTCAATGCCTAAGTACGCGTGCTCAGTGGATTGCAGCCAACATATGGGTGCTTGAAGTGACTCACATGTACTGCGGCTTCCAGTGGTTCACACCAAGGAAGTTGGATCAGTAAAAAAAACGACGTAGTAGGAATCAAGTGTTCCCTCTAGCGAAGTCCCTCTATTTCTAGAGGCTGCCACATCGGCAAGGCTATCAAAAGTTGCGTCAGACCCACTTGACCATGCATCAAACTGGTCGCGCAAGCCAGCACGCTTCTACTATTGTCATAGAAGGCTGCCAACAGAGAGGGCTCGATCCAACGCAAGCGTCCTTTCACTTGGAGCGGGCAACTGCCGATTCTCGTTGATGAGTGCTTCCAATCCCAGTCGCTTTTCATCGAGCTTCTGGGTGCAAGCCGCTACCAGTCTTTCGAGCGTGTCTGAGGCATTCCCTTGCAAAACAATGTCCGCGTATTCTTGCCCCGAGTCGTCTAGATTGCACACGATGACTTGGCCACCGCGCGCCTTGCACTGCTGCACCAGGCTGTTTGCGGGAGCGACCTGAGAACAATGAGAGGACCTGAAACGATGCTTCAAAAATAATCGGAGTGTTACCAATCATCAGCACATGGCGCTCCAAGAGACAACAGCTTCCAACTTTCTGAAAGTAACATTGTTACTCAATATCGAGCCAAACGGCTCAGAAGGATCACATTTTTGGGCGCAACCATGCCATACCGTCAAGCCCGCAATAGCTACGCGTACACGTCAGCACTACTATGTGCACTCACCGAGAGGCTGGTGCCAACGACCAGGATGACGTCAGCTGCGGTGGCGGCCCGCATGGCCTCCTGCAGCACCGCGTACTGCAGCGCCTCACCGAACAAGACCACGTCCATCTTCATGGCGCCGGCACAGCGATGGCAGCGCGGCACGTCGGCAGGCTCGAGCTGCGCAGAAGAACGTAACTGTCAGGACCGATCCTTGGAAAAAAAAGCGGAAAGCGAAGTGCGCCTTGATGCTGCCCTCTGGCGAGAGTTTGGGCTCATGTGCGAATGGCCATGCACAAACAGAAGGAGAGTAATCGCAGGGTGCCTCGTTAACCAGCATCGACAGCCAAAAGCGCAACATTCAATGCCTTCACACACGTGGGTTTCCTGGCCAGCCTAAGAGTTAGGATCGAGGCCGCCCTTGTTGTGGACTTTTATCCGAAGGTTCCCCCAAAAGCAGAGTGCGCAATGCCGCCCCATACCTGCTTTTTATTCAGCGAGCGGAGCCGTTCCATCTCCCGCCAGACGGAGCGCTTCTTCTTGCACGCCACACAAGTCATGGTGCACACTGTGCCGTGCAGCTCGTGGACCGCAGCGGAGCCGGCGCGCTGCACCAGGCGGCGGGGGGAGGGGAGCTCAGCCAGGATTGCAAGACGCAAGGCAAGGGCGCGCTGTGACACGGGCTTATCCGATTGGAAGTTCCTGCAAAGTTTCTGGATAATCAGAAGAACGGATGACCCAAACCTTAGGTCGGCACAATTGACTGGAATGGATCTCATTGTAAAAGACAATTGTCGAGGATGTTTCGAATATGGCAGGGACATGAAGGACAATCCTCCCGGGAATCGCCAGACCCGTAACAGAACGCAAGGGCAGCTATGAAGCCTAGCAACTGTCAGGAGGCTCCTCCCTTTTGGCCATTGCCATACTTTCAAAGCAGATACTCTTGACCACTGGTCTCTTGGTGCTTTGGACCAATGTTTTATTTCCTTTCACTGATTCGGCTCCTCTTTTGAAAGAATGTTAAAGATTGCTCCCGTTTACCTGGTGCAGGCCATCCACGTTTTGTGTGACCACGCAGCGGAGCCCCGCCAGCTGCTCCAGCTGGACCAGGGCTGCGTGCCCGCGGTTGGGCTCCGCATCGCCCGTCAACCACTGCATCTCGAGCGCCATCGTCCAAAACAACTCTGGCCTACGGATAGCGCAGAGGCATCTCACTACAGCGAAACAAACACTCAACGTGGCCTGTGGAACTTCCCAGGAACTACTGTGACCATGCAGAAAGTGTTTCTCAGACACCCCGACAAGGTCGTTCAACAATCATTGCAACATGAACTTCACACACTCCTTCCCTTCACTGTTCACTGGGATTACAACAATTTCAAGAGCGAGGGTGGATGTGGTGGTCTGTTTCGTCATCTTCAAGCAGATGTCTAGTGCTTTGAAACGTGCCGTTTCTCAATCCAGTGCACGCAATCACCATGGTTCTCGAAACTCTCCGCACTTGCCAGCTTAGAATTGAAGATGTCTGCCACCAAGCCATTTTTGGGTCTGTGGGGCTTCTGCGACCATCACCTCTCAATGAAAGCTGGATAACTGCAATAAAGACCCGGATCGAACCTTGCCCACAACCCGCTTGGGCTCCGGAAGTCTGGGATACCTGGACGCGACAAAGCGCTGAACTTAGACGTGACATTAGAAGTGTGACTAAGTAAAAAATCCAATTGGAAGTTCCCTCCAGAGAAGGCATAGTCAGCAAGAAAGCATAGAAGCTGCCAGTGTTGGAGGATGGAACATCAGAACAGATTTCGGAGCAACTTCTTCTGGTATCAGTCAGAGACTTTCGTCCCCCATGTTACATCAACCTGCCGAACTATGCAGCACCAGCTCCACCTGCTTCGCGCTATAATTCACAAACGAGGCACATCGCGACTGTGCTTTTGGGGCCAAGCTGGGCGGAAGTGATAACGACGTTCCCCATTGCAAAATGTTTCGCAACGCTTTCTCAAGCAAAAGCCTCTTACCTGATTCGACTGAAATCCCCGCTCCAGTAAAAGCAACAACACACTCCCCCCTCAGCAAAACGTCTGCTGCAGCTGCAAACGCATTGTCCCGTCCTGAAGTAGAAGCCTGCTCCCCTCCCATCTTCCTTTCATCCTCGACGCTCACTTTTTCCAGCTGGTCTTTGGGGCAAGAAGCGTCGCACTCGTCTAGTTGCCCCTCCCTCTGCAGCCCCGGGGTTCCACAGCTGTCAGATGCGCCTTCCTGGCCTGCTTTTACAGCCCCCATGTGGAGTGAGGACGCGTCCGAGCTTCGTGGGGCAAACAGGTCAGCGCCGTGCCCCCGAGTAAGGTCACCCACCAGGTCATCTTCTTCAAAAACCCAATCCTCCTTCGGAGGAGACCGATGTGAGTTCCCCATCGTCCCATGAGAATCTTTGGCGCGAGGGATGCAGCCTAGTGTCCTGCACGCCTCATGTCATACTCTTGATCAACAGCACAATTTGTCAATCTCATAATAGTAATACCTGGTTCTAGCTTGTTCCGATTGGATCATATATTGGCAGAATGTGCATGTATAAGAAGAAATCGATTCTTTCTTCAGAATGATAGCGTTACCGCTAAGATTGTCAAAACGCCACCTCTTCAGGGCACAAAAGGCGGTCTAACTCGAAAACCGGCAGGCGCTCGTCAACAATACGGCGGCATGTGGCTACACACCGTTTGGCCCATGCCATATAGACGAGTTCCTAAGTTGTCAACATTTTCTACCACAGCCTGCGACACAAAATTTTAGTGAAGCTGACAGTGAAGGGCCAAGGCAAGGGAGAAGAAGAGGGCGGCCCGCCGCACCTGTCCGGACCTAGCATGGTGCTCCAACACATTGCCAAGCTCAATTCCCAGAAGCGCATCATCTTGGGGTCACAAAGCCCGCGTAGGAAAGAGCTGCTGCAGGGACTGGTGGGCTGCCTTTCAACCACCTCTGATTCTTGCGTGTGTCGTGATGGTTAGTGGAGCATTGCTGTCAAATGTAGGGAAACTCTCTGGAGCCATGTGGATAAGATGTTCGGATTTGCTTAGATTCAATGCTTGATAATGCCAGCATTGCATTGCCGTCCTGTTGACTCACAGTCAATTTTTGGCGCAGACTACTGAATTCAGCAAAGCCTTCTGCACAGGCATGGCGCCTGAAACTCAATGCCATATTGGAATTGAGAACTGACAGGGTTTGTCAAAGCCATGCTGCAAATTAGTCTGAGACAGCCTACTGTTCTTATGCAGGGCCTTACCATCCAGTGCATCGCGTCCACTTTTGAGGAGCAATTGGACAAGAGCAGCTTCAAAACTGCGGCGCTGTACGCCATCGAGACTGCCACCCACAAGGCAATTGAGGTGGCGCTCAGGTGCGCCTCAGAGGTAAGACTGCAAGTCGTCCAATTTTCTCGTACGCATTCGTACAAGGCCTACAATTTGGTTTTTGCCATTGTTCCTTGGCAGCAGGCCCAGAAAACCCAAATCACTATCTTCTTAGACAATGCTCTAAAAGATTCTTTTGCTGGTGGTTCTGTGAGCCTCGTACTCTCAATGTAACCGCACGGGATGCTCATCTTAGTTGTGTTGTGCAGGGTGGTGCGCAGCCGGACTTGGTGATTGGCGCGGACACTGTGGTAGAGCACGGTGGGGTGATTTTGGAGAAGCCCCGTGACGCAGCCCAGGCAAAGGAGTTCCTCACGCGCCTCAGCGGTGAGCCTTCTAAGCAGCACAGGGGCAGAAGAGTGCAATTCTAACACGGGCAACATTTTATGACCAGTTCCCCCGGTCTTGACCGCCTGTAAGAAAGGACAACCTTTGAATCGATGAACGCTGGCAAGGAGCGTTCACTTGCTCTAAAAGCATTGGCCTGGAGAAGCGTGCATTGCAGGTGTGAGTCGTCTGTTCTAATTGGTGTTCGCTCCCTTGCAGGCGAGTGGCACTCGGTGCATACGGGGGTGGTGCTTCTTCTGCCCAAAGTGCAAGGTGAGCCGTCTTCATTTGTTGCGCCGGGCACTGACTGTAGCTTACTAAGCTCCCCCAAAAATCACTACACAGTGTTTCAAACCAGATCAACAATCCCCAATCACGTCAGAGCTGTTGCATCTCACACCGGCTGTATCACCACCAATCCAATGCGTGCGCTATAGTCTCATCAATGCAGCAGTCAAGAGCTCCTCTAAGCACCTGTCTGTAAGGTGGTGTGTGGCCCTCTGACATCATGTTTCTTTTTCTCCCTCAGACCCAGCAGGTGGTTCTGGCCCCCTGGTACGCACCTTCTCTGAGACCACCCAGGTCGAGTTTGCCCCGCTGCAGGAGGCCACCATCGACGCATACGTCGCAACGGGGGATTCCCTCGACAAGGTGCGAGCGCCGAGCAAAGTGGAACCAATCACACTTTCATGCCAGTGCGTCACTTACATTCCCTCCTTAAAACAGGAGTGATGTGGTGGCAACAACCTGGCCGCCAAGTTGTAGTACTTTGTTGCTATAAGCACAGCCGCTTGGTTGTTGAGACGTTGACATTCTTGTTTGGGCAGTATCGACATTACTTTTAAAAAGTACTTTCGTGTTATGTGGGGTCTCCCGTGACTGCAGGCGGGCGCGTACGGCATCCAGAGCCTGGGGGGCTGCCTGGTGCGCCGGCTGCAGGGGGACTATTTCACGGTGATGGGCTTCCCCCTCTGCAGGTACGCACCACCCCTCAAAGCCTCACCTGGTATCTACAGGCCGACTGAAAAGTATCAGGGCTTTTCACATGCTTCAGCAGCCAGCCGCGGTCTTTGCATATCCGAAGTTATCTCCTGCGTAAACTGTCTCCCTCAGAACTGGTAGTTACCTTAGCGGATTTAGCGCAAAGCATGCCAAATCAGTGTTTGATATCTTTGCTGCATATTAGATTTCATTCTACTTGTGGGTCTCGCTGCAGATTTTCGGAAGAGTTGACCAGGTTGATTGAGGAGGGCCTGCTACCTCTAGGTTAAGCGGTGAGCATCTTTACAAGAACGTGGCAGCACCGCCAGCATCGAGCTGCATTCTCCTATACTCTCTGGCTGTCATACTCCATTCGCTGAAAGAGGATCGTCCCGCTACTCAGCGAGATTCAGCCAAGATCCACTAAAGGTAGATATCACAGAGAAGAGGAGCCGATCCGATTTCGTCGTATCGATTGTGTTCCCATCTTGACCACAAGCTGACATCTCGAGTCTGTTTCAATGGTCATGCAGATTGGACGATCGACAAGATTCGAGTTGCTTAAGTTTTCCTCCAGACTGCTCATCCTCGAGTTCTCTTGTTTCCCAGGTCGTTTCTGCTAGGCTAGAAAGAGTTGCGTGTAGAGTTATCATGGCTACGGTTATAACCGTTGCACCTCGCTTCCTAGCGGGGTCTCCCGCCCTCCGTAGTCAGGGGCTAGGAGAAACACACACACAGGAGCTTGCGCTCAAGAACGGTGTCATTGGGTTGCTGGGCGTTAAGCAAGGTAGCAGAACAGCCAAGCCGCAAGGGAGATCTCACTCGGTTGCGGTGCGCGCGGCTGCGGCGGAGGGCGGAGCGGAGGGCGAGCCAGCGTGGAAGAAGAAACTAGAGCTGGCGGACCAGCACGCAGGTGGGCACTAACAGACTCAGTTGCGGGATCGACTCGAGAAGGCAGCTGGAATGTTCCGTCATGTGTGAACAGCGGCACCACTGTCGTAGCAGATTGGAAATATGCCGAGCAAACCGCTTTGCCGTACAGTATGTGCCTCGCTGCATTGCTGGTGGCAACAGATACAGCGCGTGCACGTCTGTACTGGCAACCTTTGGTTTCCTCCTCGTGTGCTTGACGGTTGGCTGGACGTTCCGCAAGTTTCCGCATAACAATCCGCAGCGCTCTTTGAAGTGGTTCTTCGTCGGTTCTGCAGAAGCCACCCGGGCGGCCACTGCCGCTGCGAAAGCGGAGTATGAGCGGCGGCAGGCGGCTGCGCGGCGGGCGGGGCGTGGTGCTGCTCCGGTGACCCCCCTGGCGGAGCTGCCGCTGGTGCCGTTCTTGACGGAGGAGGGCAAGATTGCGGACTGCTCGCAGGCGGACGCCAAGGCCAGCGTGTATGCGATCTTCGATGAAGAGAAAGTCGTCCGTCACGTGGGCATCTCCCGTGCGGTGAGAGCACCAAAGCCCGAGAGCCGCCCTGCGAGACAGTTTCTGAAACACACGAAGTGGGACTTAAACTCGTTAGGGTTTTAGGGTTTTAGGGTTTTTACTTTTTTCTGGTGTCCGGCTTGCTTTCTCTTCCATCAACACACACTGTGTTACCAGGACATGTCTTCTGTGCAGTTGAAGTCGCGTACGGATATGGGGTCCAAAGCTGTCCTCAGTTCGCTGGGATATACAGCTGGCAGGAGTCTCTCGCTCGCCCTCGTCCCTGATCCGCGCCGTGCTTGGCGCCGTGCAGATCGGCCCCTCTCTGCGGCTGCACTTTGCGCGCGTGCCCCTGCAGTGCTGGGCCGTCAAGGTGCAGCACATCAAGGCACCCAGGCGCAGCGCGCTGGAGGCCATCCGCGACGCCTGGATTGCCGAGCTGGGCTACCGGCCGACAGGGAACGACAACGGGCCCGAGCAAAACAGGTGAGTCGACATCAGGCGGCATGCCGCCGAGTTTGTGGGTCGCCAGCGGACGTTGAGCGGGGGAAAAGCAGGATGGGCATTGAACACTCTCCCTAGCTGGAGAATCTGATGAGGTTCACGTCTTGTCTTGAACGAATGTTTACAGACCAGAGGCGCCGACAAAGCAGACGCCAAGGCGCACAGCCGCCGTTCACTTTTGTCAACCGTTGGCGTATCTGTTGAAAGCGTGAACCCTAACTTGGGCACTTGTGAGCGGCTTTCTAACCTCTCTCCCTACTCAATTTGTGCCTGGAAAAGACTGCCCAGGTCGTTGACTCCTGTCCCTCTGCGCTGTGCCTCACCCCGGCTCGCTCCACTCGGCCGCAGGTGGGAGAACCCGCTGGACGTGCGCCCGCTGATGACGGACGATGAGAAGGCGGCGGTGGAGGAGGCCGCGCCGGGGCCCCCGACAGCGAAGGCCCTGAAGCAAGTGGCGCGGCGGGTGGAGGCCGAGTTGAAGGCCAGCTACGCGGCGCGGCAGTCGACGGAGAGCCTGCGCTTCGACCCGAAGCTCAAGGAGAAGGGCATGCTCGACGTCAAGAACCCCGCGCCGCCGCCCGACACCAAGGTGCCCGAGAAGCCGAAGCAAGCCGTCAAGGCATAGAACGAGGATGATTGCTGCGGACAAAATATCTGCGAAACCGAGTCTGCTTGGTAGAACCAACTCGCTCTTGCAACAATTTTGTTGTTTTGTCTGCATGCGTTAGCAGGCCGTCGATTTTTAATGGCTGCGGCGTGCCGATCTGGTCTTCACCATGCTCATCTCGCTTACGCTGAAAAGATGGGCGATGACCTTCCGCAGCTGTCTCCTGCGACTCGTTGCGTATTCGCCGGGTTTAGCTTGGCCCTGGAAAGTTGGTTGCAACGTGCATATGTGCGTACATGAAACATGAATTGAGGGTTCTGGCATTGAGCGCTTAAGAAAAGAACCCCATCGGGTCACCATGCATGGGTCGTCATCTGCATCTTCATGCACATGTCAACGTGAGTGTCATGGACTAAATTTTACACTGACACGCACCCCAGCTTCAGTCGATCATGCAGTGACAATCGATCAGGCAAATATATAGTGACCGCGTGGCGGTCAGCGATGTGAAGTTGAGGACTAGTCGATGCATGCATGAAGCTAATCAGCGGCGCATTATACGAGTGAGCCTGCAGCTAGACGCGCAGGTTGCGCTCGCAGGTCCCCAAATCTGCAATCATACGCACAGCTCAGTGAATCATGGAATTAAGATGCGCCTAGACCGCTCATGCAAGATTCCTTCAATTCGTCCTAAGTCTCGACAATATAGCGGCGGACTCCTCATACTGGCAACCGTTGAACCCTGTGCGCGTACCAGCACCGATAAGGCCTCACAATCGTGATGCGGCGCTCATAATAAGTTACTCGATACATCAATGTCAAAACAACTCTTTTTCGCGTGCCACGGCGCATATGGTTGTCCTTGAATGCTGTACCTCCAAGTCTTTGGTTTCCACAACTTGATCTCGTTTCGCCCCATCTATGGGGAGACCCTGTCTCCCCAGCTTTCTAACCGCAAAGAGCAAAGGACTGAAAGCTTTGGACCGGCGCTTTCAACCAGCGGCATCCTTTTTCGATTCCGGACATGTATCTGACTGATTCTTCACGATCGAAGAAAAAAGCCCCTTACTAATCACTTCAGTGCGGCACCCTCCTCCAGCAGCGCCTCCCGTTCCCGCCTATCTCGCTGCGCGGCCAGCCCCTCCCCCTCAAATAACAGTTTCTCCTCCGTTCCCTCCAAAACGTCGTCCGGGGCGGATAGCGGAAGGAGGACCTGGCAACAATGGCGGAAGGCAGTGGCACAATCAGTCTTTGCACAATATCAATCATAGTAATGACATCAACGACTCCCTCGACTTGAACGGGCTCATAAGGCAGACAGTCTCATACGTCTCATCAGCAGGACCCGACGAGCAAGGACAGGCAAAAACCAGGCCGTCGACACTTGGAAGAGAATCAGACCGTAAAGTGCAAAGCTTTCAACGACTTCTCACCAGCTCGGTACCCCCGGGCCGCCTTTTGGCCAATTCCAGCCGCTGCTGGCTAGCCATTTGAGTGACGATGGTCGCCACGATCAGCAGCACCCCGCCCGCCCAAGTGAATATTCTGGCAAGCAGGCAGGAACGCGTGCTTCGCAAGAACGCCACATGCCAGACTTTTGTACGACCCAGTTAGCTTGACTACGGACTGGTGGCATGAAAAGTTAGTACCAGTTCAAATCACGTCCCAGACCCCACAGAATTGACCAAACAATATCCGGGATTTCATTCAAAGATTGGAAAGAACTTCCGTGTTCTTGGGCGCATGGCCCAAAGCGGGCTTACCTTGGCAGTGCCGACACCTGCAGCCCCCAGCCGAGCAGGCTGCCCAGCAGCGGCTCCACGCAGACCGCCAGGCTGAGCGACAGCGGACTCATGTACCGCAGCACCGCGTTCAGGCCGGCATGGCCCACCTGACAACCAAGAGCGAAAGACGTGGGAATCGGGCAATTGGAGCAAACACGTTTTATAGAAAAAGGCCAGAGCAGTGTTACAGGCAAATGGCATCCCTCAACCAAAAATTCACCTTTGAGGTCAGAACAGTGTCTGGAAAATGTTGCTCGTAAAAGAACAGCATTATGAGATAGGATCCCTGCAAAACTTTGCGACATGCTGCGGGTGGCCCACTCACGATGCCGGGCCCCAGTGCGAGGTACAGCACTGGGAGCAGGTACGCCGAGTGGGTCACAAAGGAGAAGGGCCCCGTCAGCCGGTTGTCCACCAGGCCGCCCGACCCTTCCAGCACCATGCCAGCAGATGCCAGGAGCAGCGCGGCTACTAGGGAGACTGGGAAGGAGTAGCAAAACAAAGGGAGCCAGTCTGCAAGGGAGCAGATGAAACGGGGTCAAAAGGACACGTAAAGGAAGGCGAAAAGCACAGGCCGGCCTTCTGCAGTTCCTCGAAAGGCCTCGAAAGGCCGGGCCTGTTCAGTCAATTTCGAAGTTCACAGTATAGGTCATCAGAATTTCAGAGGGTAGTCAAGTCTAGTGAAGTAAGGTGACAGAGTCAAGACTCTACTGTGGCTACGTAGGAATACTGTGGTCCTGTGGCAGTAGATTGATTCTGGCACGGCCCCAAAATGACAGGGAACAAAACAAGACGCGCACCTCGCAGGCTCTTCCCACACGTGATGTAGCCACAGAAGGCTGCCGCAGCCAGGACCGCGGCCACGTCCCCCTGCACAGTCACATCCCGGTCGCTCTTGGCTGACAGCGCCAGCAGGGCTGCGCCCCCCGTGCCCAGGGCCACCCCACCGATCTCCCCCCACGAGATGGGCCGGCAAGTGAGGCAGTACGCAACCGCGAGGACCAGTGGACTGGAGCACACCAGGAGCAGCGAGTGGGGCAGGCCTGGCAAAAGAGACGGCAGAGCCAGCTTAAGGCTCAGGAACAACATCAACCAAGAAGATGAAGACGGCCTGAAGACGGGCAGGGGAAAGAACACCGCCACCACATGTTGTGCATCATGTCACAGGCATCCAGACTAATGTCTGGCAGACTAAAATGTCTGCCAGACATTTTAGTGTATGATATCGCTGGCGCATCTTGAGCTGCTAAGTATTGGGGCTGAAGCAAATATTCCCAGACTGAGAGCAAAGCACAAGAGTCTGCCAAGGTGGGCAGCCGTTGCTCACTGGTGTGATCAATGCTGTAGACCCAGGTGCCAAAGTGGACCGCCAGGCACGCCCCCGACAGCGCCAGCAGCCCCAGCGTGGCAGGCTGCCCCGCACGCCGCCGCAGCTCGGGGGCCAGCGTGCGCCACTGAGCATACGCAAGGGGGCTCACCGCCAGGGTGGTCACCTGCCACACAGCAACAGCAACTGAGTCATGCAGCAAGGGGGGCTAAGGGGACTTAAGGACCAACGGATGCAGGCGGGTAGGGCACAAAAGCTGCAGCACTGTCAGCAAGAATTTCTCATAACATGGGCAGTTCAGAGGGTTGTAGCTCCCAACAGTCGGCCCCCCACCTGCAGCCTCCATCCCGCCCTCGTGATGGGGGCTGCTCCTTCGATGTACTTAAAGGCAGCAGCGGCGCTGGAGACTGCGAGGATGGCAGAGCACAGAACGAGGCCGGTCCACCATGGGGTGCGCTCTGAGTCTGCTCGCTGGGGGTCAGCATTGCGCAACAGATTTTGCTCTGAGACGGACAGCTTCAGATCCTCGTCCGCTGCGGCGGGGCTGGCCTGAAGCGAGGGCACCATTCAGGTATCACCTCTCAGGACTAGCTGGCAGCGGTGTGAGGCAGGCGGGGACAGGCACGCCGCCATGCACATATTCCCAGCTGACTTCGAATGCACAGCGTCTGTAGCACGTCTGTAGGCCCTCGGCCTGGGCCTGGGCCTTCGCCTGGGCGACAGCCAGCTCGTCTTCACCGACTCTATCATCTAACCCGAAGTGTAACCAGATCAAAGCGATAATGGGGTAAGAATCGCCGTGATCATTCAGCAAGCCAAATGAAGTTCGGACTAAAATCTGGGCTCTTCAACCAACACCGTGATCGAAGTCGAGTGCGAGGGCTGTGGCAGGTTGGAATGGCTCAGGCGCCGCATCCACTGGTTTCTGCGGGACGTCACTGGTGAGGTTAATGGCGTCTGCCGCAGTGCTCTTCCAGGTGGCTGGGGCGAGAGCTTTATTTTCGCGCAGGCAGGCAGACATTGCCCCTGTCACTCCCCAGCTGTTCCCTTTGAGGACACTTCCTCGCCCTCTGGTTGAGGGATCGAGGCTGGGCAGGTCCCATTCCGAGTACAGCGTGGGCTCAGGACTGAGAAGCTTCTTGCCGAGGGCGAAAATTCCCCAGGGGCAAGCAGAGTCTACCGGAAGTTCCAACGGACTTGATAGTGCACCTCAGGCTGACCGGGTCAAGGAAGAGGCACAGGCCCTCAAGTCGAGTATCCAGCGTGCGGAGAAGAGAATTGAACGCTTGGAGAACCAGATCGACACTGCTGCGGCTGCAGGCAAGAGCACGGAGTTGTTGGAGCAAAGACTGGTCGCGCTGGAGCAGCGACTGACCGCGCTCGCGCAGGCGGAGGTGGAAAAGTTGAAGCTGCAGCAGACACCAGGTACGTCTCCCGTCGTCTTACGCATGGAGGGCGGTCTCCTTGGAGCAGCCCAGCAAAGCAGCGCACAGATGTGAAAAGACCATGAGAGGCGTTCTGCTGCCAATGTTGTGCTGCAGGCAATTCCCCTGCTGCTTGTCGATGTTTCGCAAAGAGAGTGGTATGGCACACCGCACAGAGGGTTTTCTATCCCTCTTTGCCTGCAGTTCAGGTGTCTGCTCAATGAGCCATGGCAATCTGTCTCGATTGTTGCTGCTTAAGAAGGGTGTTTGTATCTGTGTTTGCCTGAGGTTGGTGGGTTGCTCTGTGGGTCATGGCAACATGCAGGCGGAACAGTTTTGCGGTGCAGAGAAACTATTTCCAACCTCATAGCCTGCTTAGCATATGCAGTTGGCTTATTCAGTGACTGCGTGTGGAATGCTGACAGATAGCTTCTGTCGTGTGCAGCGGCGGGGGTTCCAGACCCTGCAGTCTTGGGTAAGTCTCTGTACCTGTTTCCACCTGTTTGCGCTGTGTGCTGAAGCGCTTGTCGCACCTGTCAGCATTGTCTTCTATTTGATTGCTGTTTCAGGTGCTGTTTGACTGGTGTAGAGTTCCTGCATTGGCACAACTCAGGTTCTGCCACTGGGCAGTGCCCACCACAAAGGCGATTCGCTTCGTGGGAGGCTGGTGTGAATTTTCTTGCATCCGAGCGGAAGTGTCTGATCTGCCGGTAGTCAGCCCCCACCACACTGTTGATTTGCTTTTTGTTCCAGAGAGGCTCCAGAAGTACGCTGAATTCATTGCGCAAGCGGACACTGCCAGTGGAGTCATCCAGATTCCGCCTGAGCTTCGGGAGGGACTGCCGCCAGGCCTGAGGGATAGCATTGTCATCCGGGAGTGCTATCGCACGGTGCTGAAGAAGCTCGAGGTTCTTGGGAACAACTTTGCGGTCATCCTGAGTGGCACCCCGGGCATCGGAAAGTCCGCCTTTGCTGTCCTCCTCCTGCACCGGTTGGCAAAGCAGGGGGCACAAGTGGCATACAGGTGTGCATACACCAGTCCTGGCTGACTTTGTAGTCGCCTTGTAGTCGCCTGCTAGCGTGTGTTGCTGAGCGCCTTCCTTCTAACAAGGCCTTCCCTGACGAGGGACCACGTGCTTCCTTCTCCTGTGCCAACCCTATCAGTCTGCCTCGCAGGTACATGGATACGATCAGAAAGGACACCATACTTTTCTTCGATTTCTCCAATCCGCTGGCGATCAATGTCAAGAAGGCTTCTGAAGGCACTGCTTACTGGCAATCCATTCAAGGTAAGCGAACAGTTTGACATGTTGCACTTTGAAACCATTGTTTGGCAGCAAAGGTGTATGCTTGGCTTCCGGCTTCAAACAATTGCGAAGGTTATATGTCGGTGGATGCTCAGTGTGAACATGTTTCCCCTAGGAAGTCAGGGTGACGGTATATTCACCTTAGGAGGCGCACTCTCTCTTGGTTTGAGCTATAATAAAGCGGGAAGTGACAGGGCTCTACTCATACTCACCAGCAATGATC